AACTATATGAGGTGAACAAGGTTCAGATGACAAAAATGTTGGGAATCCCTGCATTACACGTAAATAAGAAATAACATGAATTTGCGCACTTTAATGTGTTTGAAAGACAAAAACCTTCCAAAAGACATAGTAATACATGGTTAAATAACCACTGAGTTATAATTCAGATAGTTACCGTCTTCCGCCATTTTGGAGAGTATCCACTGAATGTAATCAACGTAATTAGCATTGTTTACGTTCAGTAGAAAGCACGCGCATGCTGAATGTAAATAACGCACATTATGTTGTTTACGTTCAGTGGATACTCTCCAAAACGGAGGAAGACGGTAACTCGGGGAGAAGAATGGTTGAATAAATTATGTTATTATTGTTTTCTTTGCGCACAAAAAGTATTCTCGTAGCTTCGTAAAATTACGATCACATGGACTGTTTTACGATGTCCTACGTTTCTGGACCTGGGAACATCTCAGTTGCATTGCTGTCGACTGATGGTCAGAGAGCTCTCAGATTTCATCAGAAATATCTTAATTTATATTCCGAAGATGGATGAAGGTCTTACGGGTTTGGAACGACATGAGGGTGAGTAATTAATGACAGAATTTTCATTTTTGGGTGAACTATCCCTTTAAGATTTGTCTTTTTTTCCAGGTACGGATTTCAGCATTGAAAGTCTTCCTCTTCTGCGTCACAAGCAGCACCAGTGGGCGTTGTTTCATGAGGAGTCACCCAAGAATAACTACAAGCTTTTTCACCTGTTCAACCACACGGCGGCTCTCACCTGCCCCTCACCACGCAGCAGCAGCAGCAGCAGCAGCACCTGGAGGGCCACAAACACACCTACTGCCTCTGTCCTACAAAAACCAGCTGAGGAGGACTCTGGCGTCGGTGGCGTACGTCCAGTCGGACTGTGACCCGCCGTCTGACAGAGATGTTTACGTTCAAGGGCTGATGCAGCACATTCAGGTTTACTCATACGGACAGTGTCTTCATAATAAAGACCTGCCGCCCCATCTGAGACTCCACTGCGATGGACGATCACGATTTCTACCAGATCCTCTCCCAGTACAAGTTCATCCTGGCCTTTGAGAACGCCGTCTGTGATGACTATATCACTGAGAAACTGTGGAGGCCGCTCAAAGTAGGCGTTACGGAGCTCCTACGGCGGTAAAGTTAGTTTGACGTTTGACATTCATTAGACATTCATTTTTTTTTTGCCAATTAAACTCTTTGCAGCTGTTATGTTTTGAGCCCAAACTAACTCAGATAGATATAAATATATGCCCTTTACGTTGCACAAGGCTTAATTTCTAGGAAATTTTTTTTTTAAAAATTAACAATTTTAATTAATTAAACAATTTAACTACGTGACATTATAATATAAAACCAATACTAAAATGTTCGGGAAAACATCCCTGTTATTGCACAAAGCTCCGTTTTTGGAATTACCAGTTTATGTGTTTTATAATAATTTTACAACTTTTAATGTATGCAATAATATAATTTCATTAAATGACAACACCATGTGATCTAAAGGTATCAAACCAACTGTAAAATATTCAGAATATTATTCCCTATAATGCACAAGGCTTGGTTTTTCAGATTATGCCTTCATTGTTTTTATATACAGTATTGAATCCATATTTTTTTTTATGTTTTATATACTGTACCCACTTTAATTAAACTCTGACACCGTTTGAGATAAAGGTATCGAACAAACTGTAAAAAACAATAAATATGATTCCCTATAATGCACAAGGCTTGGTTTTTCAGATTATGCCTTTATTGTTTTTATATACAGTACTGAAACCATATTTTTCAAATGTTTAATATACTGTACCAACTTATTAAGAGAACAAAGCTGTATAGTTTATGTGCATAGGGCACATCATTTGTTCTTGGAAACAGTCATGTACCAGATGTCTTTATCAAAACTGACTTAGTAGTCTTGTTACAGGAACAGTAACCTTGGACACACTCTGCAATGTCAACAAGATCTTCTAAAACTTTAATGGAGACCAATGTGCAATGAGTTTTTGTCTCAGGAGACAAATATGAGAAGCAGAAGACTCAAGCAGAAGACACACACAGACACACACAGACACACACGCACACACAGTGTAGCCTCTATTAGGGATTTACATTAAAACAACAGCAACAACATATTGTGTGAATTAGGTAATTTTTTATTGACGTGAAATTGTAGCAAAAATGTCACTGCTCTAAACGACAGTTGACATTGAACATGAATAAATACATAAAGAAGTACAACACAAAATAAAAACAAAAAATAGATGTGATGAAGACTAAATTCCAGTGAAATATCTTCACAATACCCTATGATGTCTTTAAGAACATAATATATAAGGAATAATATTTAGAGATTTTTACAGTTGGTTTGATAGCTTTATCTGAAATAGTGTCAGTTTAATTAATTTAAGTTGGTACAGTATATTAAACATTTGAAAGATATGGATTCAATACTGTATATAAAAACAATGAAGGCATAATCTGAAAAACCAAGCCTTGTGCATTATAGGGAATAATATTCTGAATATTTTACAGTTGGTTTGATACCTTTAGATCAAATGGTGTTTTCGTTTAATGAAATTATATTATTGCATACATTAAAAGTTGTAAAATTATTATAAAACACATAAACTGGTAATTCCAAAAACGGAGCTTTGTGCAATAACAGGGATGTTTTTCCAAACATTTTAGTATTGGTTTTATATTATAATGTCACGTAGTTAAATTGTTTAATTAATTTAAATTGTAAATTTTTTTACATTATTTTCCTAGAAATTAAGCCTTGTGCAACGTAAAGGGCATATATTTATATCTATCTGAGTTAGTTTGGGCTCAAAACATAACAGCTGCAAAGAGTTTAATTGGCAAAAAAAATGAATGTCTAATGAATGTCAAACGTCAAACTAACTTTACCGCCGTGGAGCACACCTAACGTACGCATGTGGTTGCCAGATAACAGGAGCGCAGTCAATCCCAATGAGCCGCCGAAGAAGCTCGCTCAGTGTTTAAACAGATTGGACAAGAATGACTGGGAATATCTGAAATATTTGGAGTGGAAGCAGAAGCGGGATATATCTAACGTGAATCTGGTGACAGAGCTGAACACGTGGGGTGTTCAGGATATGGTCAAGATAACTTCATTAATGCCTTCGAGTGCATGGTGTGCAACAGAGTCTGGAAGAATATCCACCGGCAGGAAAAGGTAAAGAAATGATCATTTTGAGAGGATTTCACTAGACTTCCCATTCTCTGTTTTTACTCTTATAGATTAGGGAACAGGGTTTGGAACGACATGAGGGTGAGTAATTAATGAGAGAATTTTCATTTTTGGGTGAACTAACCCTTTAATATGTGCTTTATATCCAGTGTTGGGAAGGTTACTTTGGAAAAGTAATAGGTTACAGATTACAAGTTGCCCTGTTTAAAATGGAATAAGTAGCTATTAAGTAATAAGTAACTATTTCAATTACTTTATTAATGTAACTGATTACATTCCATTACTTTTTGATTACTTTTCTAAATTTCTCATTTTTCAACTGTTAATCATTTTCAAATATTTAAAGCAGGCAGGGTTAACCTGACAGTAGTGCTCAACACTGACTGTCAGACTTTCAGAATCCTTCTTCACTTGAATTAATATTATAATAATGTCATTTTAAAGCACAGCCAACACAAAATCAGACTTACTAGAGATCATTCTAAGGTTAAATATAGATTTAAAATCACAACAAGATATAGTTTAATAGCTATGATGCTGTTTTTGAAATCAAATCTTTGCATAGATATGACAGGAAACACTGGCATCAAACAGTTCATCTCAAAAAATAAAGCCTATACATAAACCCAAATAGGAAATAAAACAGGATAAGCATGTGTCCTATTCTGTGTCCTAAACTCCTGCAACATTGGTGTCTCATATTTCAGAGCAGTCAATGCAATTTAGGAAAGAAATCAAATCTGTATGTATGTATTCAAATGTAACCCCCTTTGTAGTCATTAACATTTTCATAAGTAACTGTAATTTAATTACACATTTTTCTCAGCTAACTGATTACAATAAAAAAAAATTGTAATTGAATTACGTAGTTCCATTACATGTAACTAGTTACTCCCCAATGCTGTTTATAAGTACTAATAAACAGCCAATATGCTAGTAATATGCATACTAATACGCAACTAGTTAATAGTGTTCCCAAATTACCGATATTGTTAACTGCTTCTCTTTTACTCGGTCTGTGACAGAAACTGCCGTCTAAAGTCTGGCGAGCTGAAGAAAAGCCATCTTACATGCCCGCCTCCAGAGCTGTTTGAGTTTGCCGTGAGAACCAGCTCGTTTCTACGGCAGATATGGAGAGCCAGTTATGAGCAGTCCAGAAGAGAAGCCCGAGCACTGGGATTCACAGGAACACAAACTTTACCGTAACACAGTTCTGGAGAGAAGTGTTTACTGACTGAAGGAAACGGATAACTGAAATGCAGTTATTATGTTGGATGTATGTGGATGGTAAACCTGTGGGCTGCATTTCAAGAGGAAAAACAACATCAAGGTGATGTGTTATTCATAGGGCTATTTTCATGTTATGTGGAAAGTTATGTCATACATTGCATTATATTTAACGTACATAATCTTTATGTGGATGTGACATTTTCTCTTAAACAGTGCAATGCTCAGGATATGCATTAACATGTGTTTTTATAGTAGGCCTATATAACCTAATATCTAGTCTTAATATTCTATGCAAAAGGCCGTTAACACTTGACAATAAGGTCCCATTAGTTTAATGTTAGTTAATGCATTAACAAGGATGATTACATTTGTTACTGTTTTTTTTTTGTAAGTTGTGTACATTTTGGGACTGATGTATGAAAGAGACTTGTTCCCCATATCCCATATCATTATATGGAATGCTAAAACTTAATAAAAAAAAATAAAAAAATCTTTGTTAAAGGGGTCATATGATGTTGCTAAAAAGAACATTATTTTGTGTATTTGGTGTAATGAAATGTGTTTATGCGGTTTAAGGTTAAAATATAAAGAATATCTCTTTGGATTTGAGACTTTAGTCTTTGCAACTTTAAAAAGTTTTGATCTTCTTTATGCACCAAGAGCTTGTAACAGTCCAAAGAGAAAGGAAAAATTGAAATCGCATCATATGACCCCTTTAACATTTCATCACTTTGGAATTATAAGGTTCTATTTGCATTCTGAGCAGTTTTGAGATATTGAGCTTCAAAGCTTTTGCATTTCATATAATGATATGGGATATGGGAAACAAGTCTCTTTCATACATCAGTCCCAAAATGTACACAACTTACAAAAAAAAAAAAACCCACATAATGTAAATAAGTTGTCACAGAATAAGAATATGTGAATAACTCAATTTTGACTAAATGAGCCTTATGTGACAATTTGTTAATATAAACAAAAAAACAACTGTTCGTTGAATAGTATTAAATAATATTAACATATACAGTTTTTGTTCATGTTAATTAATAAAGTTAACTAATGTTAAAAAAATTGAATTTATTTTAAAGTGTTTTAAAGACGAAAAAGGTATACAGTAGGGGGGTTTTAAAGCAGGATTGGACACCCTTCTCATTTCTTACTTTAAACACACTGAAATGCACTTTTGGCACTTTATGGTTGTTTTTATGCCATTTATGTTAAGTAAACTATAATTATTAATAAAGAAGTAGGATTTGTAATTTTTTTTATTACCAGTTCATAAGAGGCAATCACTTTTTCCACACAGATTGTTGTATAACTCTCTGTAATAAAAACATATAAAATGTTTCTTCCCCCACCCCACTCCCCCTGCAATTCAGTGCTATTTTCTGCAAAAATACAGAAAACCCAACAGAAGCAAACATTAAACATCATTTTTAATATTTGTTTCCTAAGCAGTTTCTTTGCGTTCAAATGTGAATATGGCAGATGGTCTTTCATCCTCTTGTAGTCAGTGTTCAGTACTCAAGGCAGCAGACGTTGCCTAATAAACATGAAATAAATGACAATTTTACACCTTGTAGTATGGATGTAATTCATAGGACCCTTACATGAAATGTCTTTCAAATGAAATCCCCTCTTTTATTGCTGTTTTCTTCTGCGTAGTGCTTCCTCTTCACCCATCTCAACACTAGATGGAGACACAAACATACAATCTATGTACATATGTGCCATGTTTTCTGTATTTTGTCTCTGTATGTAGATATATAGCAATATATAAGCGAGCGATGTTGATGATATTCTATTTTTCTATCAGCAGTAGTGCTGCTTGAAAATTATATATTTTTATGTCTCCATGTTCATGTTACTGCAGAGAGACTACCTTTTTGATAGGCTGTCAAAACAGAATAGGATCTGGCTCTACTGTATAATGTAACTGTGTAAAAAATTACACTTGAAGCTTATTGAATGTGAACTTAAATGTAATTAATTATGTAAAGTTTACAAAGAATTATACAGAGGTTAAATTTCAGCCAGTATCTACCACACATTTAATCAATTTTGATAGAAAGTTGATTAGTATAGTTATAAATTATAGTAGGTTACAAAAGTACTTATGAATTACATAGATGATTTACATAGTCTTCTAATATTTTAGTCTAACATTTTAGACTAAAATATTCTAGATACCCAAAAGCTACTGGAATTGCAAACATTTTTCAAGTACAAGTGAGTACTTGTTATATCTACAGAGCTGAACAATGCAGACAGTATGAATCATCACATACTTTTCTTTGTTTGGTCCAGAAATCATCATTCAGGAACTACGAGTTTTAACTGTTGGCGAGTTTTTAGATGTAATTCAGTTATGAAGTTCTGATGGGTAGATATCCAGCTTGAAGGAATGTTAAACTGATGCAAAGATTACCAAAGATTAGATGGTGGGAATCGGAAGCAAAATCAGCAGAGCAGCGATGGAAAAGGAAACATGAGATGTTGAGGTGGGATTGGATCATCAATCTGGATGTTGAAATGGTCAAGTAGAATGAATGGAGTGCTGTTTTCTGTTTTCTGTGATGAGTGCCATATAAATCCAGACACATGATGACCTGAAGCAATTCCAATTAAACATACTGAATTAAAGATTAAATTTTGAAGTAGAAAAATATGCACCCCCAGCATAGATGGTCACCGTTTTTTAAAAACTTTTTTTTTTGGACTGCTGGTGGTGCCACTAAGAACATAAAACATAAAATAAGATATTTTGAAGAATATGGGTAACCAATTGATCCATCAACTGTTTGGTTACCAGCCTTGCTAAAATGAACCATGGTTTTATTATATTAAAAGTGTAGTAATTATTTTTGTAGTTACCATACACTTTTTGTAGTTACCATTGTTTAACTATAGTTACCATGGTACATTTCGTCTGGCCTCACAGAAATATAGAGCTGAGTGTCACCAGTGTAACAGTTAAAACTGACTCCATTTTTCTTAATGGTATCACACAGTGTGAAAAGCAACGGTCCTAGAACTGAGCCTTGCAGTACTCCATACCAAACTTGTAAACGATATGACACCTCTTAACTTATTGTTACAAGCTGATAATGGGAAGTACGATTTGAACCATGCCAAATGCAATTCCACAATGCAAATGTAATTTTCGAGCCTATCCAAGAGAATGTTGTGGTTAATAGTATTAAAGGCAGCACTAAGGTCCAATAACTCTAATGGAAAGATGCAACCATGATCAGATGATAAGAGCAAGTCATAAAATAGCAGAGACGTCCATAAAAGTGGGTAAAGAATAATAAAAAAGAGGTTTTCCTGGCAATGGAAGGGCTCTTGAGAAGGGATAAAAAAATAAGAGACCAAAAGATCACTGTCACCAAAAGAGAAAATACAACAGTAATGTCTATAATTTAGGGAATTGTAGGTCAGAAGGAGTCTTCATTAGACCTTCAAAGCTGTTCTTCCTCAGTGGACACTCTAAACTTCACTACTTTGTCCAGCAGGCTGGCCCTCCAGCACAGATGCTCTAAGTACATGCTACTGATGATAAGTGGTTGTGAGAGAAACAGGCCTGTTTAACCACTGTTATTACAAAGACACACTGTTTTTTTTTCATTTGAAAAAAGAAGGTATATTGATTTAATTTGTGTGATGATGATTAATGTCCCTGACAATCTCTATAGTCCCATTTAGACAATTGTTAGCAACCACCTTTTTCAAGACACATAAAAGCTTAAAAAAAAAAAGTAGAAGTATTTAGTAAAAAGTAGAGTATTACTAATGTATTTTATGTCATGGAATAAAACATGAAAATATCTTGAGCTTGTGTTAACCATAGACCATCTTTCTGGCATTTAACCAAAAACTCAATCAGAAAACCCACTGACCGGATGTGCTAAAATGCTAACTCATTTCCAGGTTTTAGGACTCATTGCTGCACCCTCTATAGCAGGGGTGTCCAATCCTGCTCCTGGAGAGCCAACATCCACACTTTAAAAAATTCTGTAAAATTTATGGTAAAAAAACTGTCAGCTGTGGTTGCCAGAATTTTACAGTACAAAATACAGTAGCAACATTTTAGGTTTTACGGATTTGACTTCAATTTACATTTAAAAACTGTACTTCATTAACTGATATAATGTTAATATACCAGCCTTTTGAAGTACTGAAATCTGTTTAGTACATCTGTAAATACACTGATAACCACCAAAAGCAGGTGGTAATGAGAAAGTCACATGATGAACCAAAGCTCATCACAAGCAACCACTGTAACTCTAAAATAAATGGTCTAAAGTAAAAAGAGGCTGGTTCCTCCAAGCTCATCAAGACCTTGGTCTTGTGCTCAACAAGTCACCCATTCTGTACCTTACATCAGGGGTTTTCAAACTGGGGTCCGTGACGCAAAGCCAGGGAGTCCGCAAAATAATTTGCTATAGGCCTACCGTATTTTCCGGACTGCAACTTGCATTTTTTATCTTCTGAAACGTGCTAGGATTTATATTCCAAAGTGACATATAATGCATTAATGCCAAATAAGCAAAGCTTAAACACTTAGAAGCAGGCACTTCAAGGTTTATATAGCTAAATACATTTCTCATGTCTGTTTGACAAGTAGACAGTATCGCAGAGTTTTTCTTCATTGTAGGAAGTGGTTCACATAGACCAAGACGGCAAGCGCATTTTGTTTGTTTTCTTTATTTTACAAAAACACAACGTTTCACTGTCATTTTGAAGGTACACAAATAAAAATAGACCGTTTTGAATGATGTCTTGCTCTTATCTGACGGATATCACATTTTTCCGCTGATATAAGGAATCCAAAGTGTTCGCGCTGGCGCCTCCCACACGCACACAACAAATCAGTTCTAGCATTGCAACTTGACATCTTGACAGGGGGTGGCCAGGGGTGGCCGTGGCCACCACTGACGAAAGCTTGGCCACCCCACTCAAAACTGCAGTTTTTGTCCCTTTTTTATTGACAAGAAAATGAAGAAATGCATTTATTAAAGGGGTCATATGATGTTACTAAAAAGAACATTATTTGGTGTATTTGGTGTAATGAAATGTGTTTATGTGGTTTAAGGTTAAAAAAACACAATATTTTCCACATACTGTACATTATTGTTTCTCCTCTATGCCCCGCCTTTCTGAAACGCGTCGATTTGTGAAAAGCGAGGTGTGCTCTGATTGGCCAGCTATCCAGTGCGTTGTGATTGGCAAAAAGCGAGGTGTGCTGTGATTGGCCAGCTATCCAGTGCGTTGTGATTGGCCGAATACCTCAAGCGTGTGACGGAAATGTTACGCCCCTTACCATATTGTGATGCCGTGTCTGCGACGGCAAACAACAAGTGCTACTCTACACTGCTCAAAACTCGCGTTTGAATCATCAGTGGCAAATCCTTTAAATGAAAACGTACTTACGTGAGTCAGAACTGCTGGCATTTTAGTCTAACGTTACTCTCCCAGGATCAGTAAACAGTCCTCCATAAAATGTGCTGCACACATCTGAATATTTGGGTTGAACTGTTCTGGAACAGTGTTGTAAATACAACTTAACCACTGATTATTAGTCGTGTCCTCTTTTGGAAGGCCAAACAAAGTAGTTTTGCTTTCACAACAAAACACACAGAGTCCCCACAACATGGCCGCAGCGGCAACAGCGAGAATAAAAGTTATGCCTTCTTTCTTTGCTTGAACATTTGGGCGGCGTTATGCAAATCTTCCCACATCATGACGTAGACATGTGGGGGCGTGTTAGAACGAGCCGTTTTAGGTAGGCGTGGTTGACTCTTAACTTTTATAAAGAATATCTCTTTGGATTTGAGACTTTAGTCTTTGCAACTTTACAGATCTTCTTTATGCACCAAGAGCTTGTAAAACTCCAAAGAGAAAGGAAAAATTTAAATCCCATCATATGACCCCTTTAAGATGCGGAACTGCCATATCTCTTTATGACCACATCAAACGGGAGAATTTTCATAGGCGCACTTCAGCTTCACCTCAGCGTCAAGCGCGAGTCAAACGAGCGCGAAAAGCTACAGCAGCCAAATGAGCCTCAGTAGAACAACTGTGAACTGCGGTCTGATGAGATGTTGTTAGACTATATGTCAGTAAAACACACTTTCCTGTCCCATCAGCCGTTTTACTGTGTGCTCACGGCGCACACTCTTCAACGGAATGCAAATATGTGGCGCACGCTCTATATCACTTCATCATAAATATATGCTGCATGATATGTATTTTTTATTTGTAATTGAATGCACAAATAAATGTGAGCACAGTGCACTTATGCTAGAAAATATGCGAAAATTAAACCATTTAAATGCATAAAATAACTCATTTTATATTCTGGCATTTATGTCTACTGTTGACTTCCGGCCTTTTTCACATTTTTATCACTATCTGCATGCCTCATCCATGAGTATGCAATGTTGGAGAGCAAGCATTTGGGAGTTTTGAGAAGTTGAATGAGCAATAAAGTTATAGTGAGCCCCTTTATTAAAATAGACTGGTTGCTGGCCCCTCCCTGGCCACCCCTATAAAAACATCCTGGCTCCGCCACTGATCTCAGCCTCATCATCAGCAAACTAAATGAGACAACTAAACCTACAATACTCATGGAAACGATTCATGCCGAATGAGAGGTTTGTGAGCCCACTATGTGGTTAAGTTTCAGTAAGTAACATCATTTACATCAGTTTGTTATGGACATAGCCATAGGCACCGATTTATGTTTCTGCCGGTGGGTGCAAAAAACGAGCATTTAATTTTTTTTATAAAACACATTTTCACCAGTTTACACAAGTAAATGATAACCCGGGCTAAGTTATCATACACATACGCAACAAAAATGCTTAACATATTTAAACATTCTCATTACTCAGTACTTCATATCATGGGTGTTAGTTTTTTCTAGAGTAGGCTATACTCAGTTCGATGGTGCATTTGATGAATTCACTACACAAAATTTATCTTGCGAAGTGAAATGCATGCAATTACCAACCAAATCAGGGCCGTGCACAGACATTTTGAGGGGCAGTGGCCCAAACCAAAAAAGGGGCACTATAGGGGGGTGGGTGCTTGTAAATACAAATTATCCAGTTGTTACAAATATACAATTAAAAGAGAAGACAGCACACTCTGTAATAATTTCAGAGTTTATCGTAGATGTTTTTTTATAAGAATGGGCTCTCCCTCACTCTCTGAACCTGCTTCTGTCTCATCTTCAATGGAAGTAGGCGAGAGTGGGGTAAGTTGACCAACCCCGTTTCTTGGCATCTGTACACTTTTACTGTCATGTGACCATGTATTTTGGAACCACCCATCATTTCTGCCAGACTGTGAAAAAAAGAAACACATGGGGGGAATGGAAGGCACCCATTTACTTTAAAAACTGTTTTTGGCTTGTCAAAGTAAAATTTTATGCATGCATGAGTTAGTGCACTCTCAGGGCTGGGTTGCGGCAGGAAGGCCATCTGGCGTAAAACGTGCCAAAGCGGTTGTACGGGTAAGTACGCTGTGGCGACCACTGATATAAGGGAGTTGTCCGAGGAAAATTAGAGCATAACAGATGTAATGGTTGTTACATCAAAGCAAATTTATCCAGGTCTAAAACTATTTATGATACATATAGGTGATTTTGCAACATATACCATGCAAATCATTTAGCTAAATATTAGCCTGAACTGTTAAGCAACAGTAGCTATTTTTTTCCAAAATGGCAGCTATGGGGCAAAGTGAGCCAAATGCTGTGGGGTAAACTGAGTCAGCATTTTAAATAATGCACTGTAGTTAAGTTAAATCTCTGAATTATAAACTGGTATTTTAATGTGATATATTACTGGTTTAGTTTATCATATATACATATTTTGTAGTTTATTTGATAGGGACAGTGTACAAGTGCACCAAATCCTTCTCTGATAAGAACCAGAAAATGCTTTTCATCACATTATAATCAGATATATCTTTCCACCTGTAGTCCCTAATGGCCAACAAACCCTCTGTTTAGTCTGTTTTAGGAAGGCTACAACTTTAGTGTTCAACATATTGTTTCAGAAATACAAACAATAAAATATTGACATTTAAACTTAATTTGGTTGGTTTTATGTTGTTAAAGTTAACCATGACATTCTGATCATTTAAAATGCTAGGAATACTTTCATTAGGATAGGATAGGATAGGATACATACTTTCATTGTACTTCTGCATCATTTTAACTTATCTTGAGGACCACATAAGTAAAAAATGGCTAATCTTACCCCACTCTCCCCTATAAGTATTAGACTTTTAATTTAATATTTTACAGCATAAATCTATATTATATACTAATAAACAACTCATTTAGAACATTTATATTATTTTTTAACTATTATAGGCCTACTATTAATATGGTTTTAATAAAATATGATGTGTTATAGATTACTAGTATCAAGACAAGTGATTATAATGGGAAATATACTTAATTACAAAAATTAAAGTGTGACAAACTGCTAAATATTCTATATTTAGCTGCTGGCTTGCTGGAGCGTTGTATTTATGTTTTCAGTGTTGAACTGCCTTTAGCAGCCTCCCTTCGCTCTTTCTCTCTGTCTCAGTCTTCTTTTTTGCGAAGGCATTTTTTTTTTTTGGTATACAAAGTGTGCCAACAACAGCGAATTTTGTGTTATTTATATTAGATCTGATCGGGTACAATAATTTGATTAGACATTCTAATTGCTGCGGAGCGGCGGGAAAACACGGAGCGGATTAGCGGTGTCAGCGGAGTCAGCGGAGCGGGAACAGACCGCTTTGAGCTGGGGTGATGGGGGGATCGGTGAAAGGGGCAACTCAGCCGATGAGGGCAAAGGGGCAGTGGCTATAGCCACCGGGCCACCCCCCTGCCCTTACCAAAAAGTAGTATACTTCAAGTTTATTTTAGTAAGTATACTTAAGTAAAGTTCAAGTATATTTTTAAGTATACTTTATGTAGTAAGTATACAAATATCAGTGTACTAGTAGTATACTTGTAAGTGTACTA